TGCTAAGACAAAAAAAAGACTCGGCTCTTCCTGCTCAAAACGGAGCAGGAAACCGTATCCATAGACAGAAGGGAGTTGAAATCCATTAAAACCCATGGACCTGATTATGTAGATCCCACAGGGTAAAGCAGGTACAACACATGCCTTTGTGTATCCACACAGGAGAGAGGAAAGAAAAAAAAACATCAGCTTACAAGGAAATCTGTGAATATTTACTGGAGGCAGTACTGCACTATGCAACTACCAGAATAGATCACAGATCCCTCACAGGAAAAACAGGAGCGGTGCCTGCTTCCACACAGGAGGAGATGGCAAGCATATGTGAATCTATGCACGTGTGCACATCCCCAAGTCCTTGCCAAAGAAACTACAAGCAAATTAGCTGAACACATAATATGACCCGGATTTAACCCACATCTTTGGCCAAAAACGTCTTTACCGAGGGCTGCTGTGCACTGGCTGCTCACTGGCCACCCCCCCTGAGGTGAGTGCACCTCTGAGCCGCTCTGTATGAACTCCCTCGGAGGAGCTCCGAGATCCTCCTGGGCAGTAAAGGCTCAACTTGAATTTCAAAGACGCCTCTTGAGGACCACAGACGATGCCAGCACTGTAATCGTACCGACAAATAATGCCTTTTCTCTTAACGAGCTTGCAGAGTTCTCAGACCCAACTGTACCGCTAACTTCTCTCAGCAGAATTTGCACCAACTGTGGCAAGATGACGGGTTTCGCTCCAGGACTGCACCTAAATTTGGCTTTCAGTTTTAAAAGACTGCACAAACTCACTTAAAAGCTATATGACGAAACAACAATTTTACGAATGGACTCCGGACTCTGAGAAACTCTTTGGCGTTTCCTTGTATTAGCACCTGATAGAAACGATTTCACAGCCACGCAGAGCCCTTCAGTCTAAACAATTTCAGAGCTGGATTGAGTGAGAGGGGTCCTGCTTCGTGCAGCGCTTCGCTTGAGTTTTTCCATGTTTGGCTCCAGCCCTTCATCATTTACCTCTTTAAACAGTCCGCTGATGAGGGGAAACGTGTGCCGGGATATACCCGTAACTATAGCACCCACTGGTGCTGAGACAACATGCAGCAGGACTGTGCGGAGGCAGACACAGCACAGGGCTTTCAGTTAGGAGTGTGTAGATGGGGGATGCTTGTAGAAATTAGGCTTGATACAGGGCGTGCCTAAAATGAGAGAAAACGCAGAATGCATTTTATTCTGCACAATACTTGTCCAGCAACAGCTCTCGGCCTTGAAAGAGCTGCTGAGAAAGCCTATATTAGTTACTGTGCAATTGCAACTATCTAGTCCAACAGATGAAACCATCTCTGTAAAAACCCATTTTTTTCAAGTATTTTCATTGCTTCTCAGTCTTTTCTCATTAGTTCACGTTAAAATGAGAATGGCGCAGCAGGTCACTAACAAACCTGTACTATGGTGGCTTAAGCGACAGTTAGGTATCTGCGTTTGCCTGTCATTCCCTTATCTCACGTACCGGAGCCATAAATACCTATTGATTTTACACAGCAGATAAAACACTCCCAGCACATTTTGCTCACAATCCAAACTCCAGTTGTGGGGAACTGACATAACTCCGTGGCCCTCTGCCACACTTCGCTATTTTCATAACTTCAATTTTACGGCCTCTCTGGAGAGTCAACATCAAGAATTCCCCCCCTCCCCACTCTCGCTGTTTAAGTTTTGCCAGCTCAGCTCCCCGAGCCTGCAGGTAGTGACCCTGCTGGCCGACGAGCCCAAAGCAGTCAGATTTTCTTCTTGATCGCTCTTGCACCTGCTCTAACCCTGCCTACTCTGCTCACAGACCTTGTCTGGGCAACAGCGTGACTCAGCACCATAAAACCACCTTTTCTCTT